TTTGCCTTGTAAACATTTTAGAAATTGCTTTTCTTTTTATTCAACAATGTAATTTGAAACCATTTTTCAGGTGATAATACATAAGAATTGGCCAAGGAGTTGTTTTGTTTTGTTTTGGTTCCAGCAGCACGGAACTCTGGAAACCATTTTTCAGGTGATAATACATAAGAATTGGCCAAGGAGTTGTTTAAGATGCAGAACACTGCATCTTAAACTTCAGTGTTCATTCAGATCATGTAAGTTCATCATGGGGCACACTCATAGCACCAGTACTCAAGGAGCTGAGATAGAAGAACTGAGTGTTCAATTCCAACCTGGTCTACATAGTGGTTACCAGGCCAATCTGAGTTACAGAGTCAGACACCGTCTTAACAAAAAACAGTAAAGTCAGGCTGGAAGTGTGGCTCGATGGTAGAGTGCTCATCCAGCATTCATGAGAACCTGGGTATAGTCCTCCGCTCTGAAAAAAAAAAGGAATATAGCAATGTCTTGGGTCTGGTGGTAAACTCTGATTTTCTGTTTCTAGAAACTTCCTAGATACTGATCATGTGGGTCAATATGATACCAGAAGATGGAGATCGTATGGCACAGCAACAGTAGAAATCAGACCAAGCCTTATAATCCTGGGGTTGGGGAAGCTGAGGCAGGAGGATCACTGTGAGTTGAAAGCTAGACTGGTTTAAATATGAATCCAAGAGCAGCCTTGGCTACTTGGTGATACCATGTTTCAAAAATACACAGATACATACATACACACACATATGGAGGGGGGAGAGAAAATAAGGGACAGAAGGATACCAAATCACATATTAGGGATAAGACAGGCAAGCAAGGCATCTTTATTATGATTTTAGACTGAGCCAGCCAACTTCAGTGTGAGCCAAAGGGGCATGCCTTGCAGTGATTGAAAGGGACATCAGACTGCTGCTCGCTGAACAGAAACAAGCAGCAAACTCTCATTGATTTTCTGGGATGGATTAAGGTTTAGTAATTGCCCATTGGTCATGGGAAAGATTTCAAAAGATCTTTTCCTTCTTGTGCACACACATTCTGGTCTTGTGGCTTGCAGGCTAATGTGTGGTGACTTAACCCAGGAACCACTGAGTTACTCATTGTCACATAAATGCCCTGGCCTTGTGATTTGGTCTGAACCTTCTGATAAAGCTGAGGAAGTGTGGGTACAGAGAGGATAAGGCCAGGGTATAAGACACTCAAAGCAGCTCTGATGGCAATGGGCTGAGCTAATCCTGTATTATAGTCTTAGGCAATTTAAAAGTTTGTAGTTTTTTTGTTTTGTTTTGTTTTTTTGGAGACAGGGTTTCTCTGTGTAGCTTTGGAGCCTGTCCTGGAACTTGATCTGTAGACCAGGCTGGTCTCAAACTCACAGAGATCCACCTTTCTCTGCCTTCTAAATGCTGGGATTAAAGGCGTGCACCATCACCACCACCACCACCACCACCACCCGGCTTTGTTTTGTGTGTGTGTGTGTGTGTGTGTGTGTGTGTGTGTGTGTGTGTATGGACTTGCTCATGCCATGGCAAATTTGAGGACAGATAACAATTTCCAGGAATCAGTTCTCTCCTTCCACCTTTTAGGCTCCAGGATGGAACTCAGGTCATCATTCTAGCCCTACAAAACATTTTAAAGTGATCGATATATCTGCATGCCAAATAGAATCTGACGTAAGGTTTCAAACACAAAAGGGACAGTCACAATATGAAAAACATGCCAAGACATTTAAGTCACGTAGCAGAATTCTGAAGCTCGTATGAAGCTCCATTTTTTCAGCAAAAGTGACTTCAAGTTTCTGCAAAGTAACCTACCAAAGCAACTATTGTCACAACCCTAAAGAATAGCAAAGCTGGTGGGAAAGTCAGTACAGCTTAGCTTTGTGAGCTCCCAAATTAGCGATTTTTAGGTTAACTCAGAGCAAGTGAAACTAGAAGATTCCAGGGTTTTGTTTCCAGGATGAGTGTCATGCTCTTGCTGACATCTAGGAAGACTCTGGGGATTTACTGAGAGCATTTAATGGGACAAGATTTTTCCTTGGTAATGATTCCCTCTTGTCTTGTTTTGTTACTGGTGTGAGTATCTCTCAAGCTTGGTCTAACCATAGGGGCTCCTGACCTTGTGATCCAATCTGGGTTTTTTTTTGACAGTACTTTTCATAGCAAAGAAGGTGAGTGTGGGGGGAACACTGAGCTATACCAATTCATGAGAAATGACTGTCAGATTCCCAAGGATTTGGTGGTCCTGCTGTTAAATGCAGCAATCATTAAAACATCATAGCATATAGATGTATAATTAAACAAATTATATTGCAGAGATAATAAAAATTTAAAACCATCAGTTTTCTAACTATTTTACTGCATTTTAAATTTTCTGCTGTAGAGGTTATTTATGTCCAGTGCATCTGTCTGGCAGAAACACATACAGTGGCTTGCTTCTGCACATTT